GTGACTCTGTTAAGTTTGGATCTTTGGATCTCTAAAGAGCCATACGATAAAGGCTTTGACAACAGCCCATGGTATTATTAGAATATAGTAGGATCCTTAGAAGGTGAGGCTTGACAGAAATGAACTAAATGACTGGAGGTGTCCTTGAAGAGGCTATGGGAACATGGATCCTTCCCTTGCCATGTCCCTGTCTCTGTCTTTGCTTCTTGAAAGCTATTGCCCTTGCCAGGGGCCCAGAACAAAGGAGCCAGTGGTCACAGATTACAGACCATAGATGCCTGAACCAAAACAACAGTTGCAACCTTTAGGCCTATTTGCTCAGACAGACATCTGCTTCATGGGATGCAAATCCTACAGAGCAGCCTCTGCTGGAAGCACAGTGGTAGCCTCTTGCTAAGCCCCCCTTCCCAGTAAGCTGACAAAAGGTGGCTTCCCAGCAGACTAATTAAGTCCCTCCTTCCCAGGGCATGTCCCCCCACCTCCCCATGAGAACAGGGAAAGACTTCCCTTTCTAGACAATGATGAGGACCAACTATGAACCCTACCCAGCACCCCTGGGGTCCTTCACGGGTTCCCACATCTAGGAAGGCCTGCTATGACTATACTTCAGCCCTCCCACCCTCAGGCTTATAAACAATCTAGCAAGCTTTATGGAAGAAGGAAAAAGAGGAGGAGGAGGAGGAGCATGGCCCTTTTTTCTATCCTCTCTGCAAACATTATCTGTCCTCCAGTGAACAGGAAACCAGCAGCAAGACCACTAAGCAGCAGCATCTGCAGTTGTGGACACTGAGGACCAAGGTGACAGGGACTCTTCCACCACGGCCTGTGTGGCCCCCATGTACTTTCAGCAAGCCCCCCCCCCATCATCACTTAACACTGACTTCATTTAACACTCACTTTCCGTTTTGTCACATCTGCAAACATATGGCAAAGCCTCTTTTTACCTCGTAGATGGTTTATTTGCTGGGCTGGGGCTTCCCTTTAGACTTGTGTCTGTGAACACAGTGGCTGAGACTCTGTGAAAATCCCAGCTATTAGATTCCTGTCCCCACAACACACACACACACACTTGCCAAATCTTATTTTCATTTAAGAATGAGAGAAAAGAAAGTTAAGAGCCAGGTTTAGCGGGAAATCAAGACAAATGGCAAGAAGAAGCTACTGGGAGCCGTACTAGCCTGATACTTCTTTTTAAAACAGTCTCAGAATGTTCCCAACCTCGCAATACCATAAATGTCCTGATGCTGTCCTGGCTCTCAGAGTCTTCCCCGTACTTTCCACGCACATTCTACTGGGAATTGTCTGGAATCCCAGATTAAAACAGCAGTAACCTAATTCCCTTGCTATTTTTTTTTCTTTTTTTTTTTTTTGGTTTGGAAACTCAGCTGGGCTATATCTTCAAGTGTATGGCCCAACTTCACAGTGACCAATGAGTTCCTCAAACTCAGTACTCAGTAAGGAGCAGGCAGCCCTGGACTAGAAGAGGGAGGGGGGAAGCTGGCTGGCTGGCCTGGAAAGTCCCGCAGAGGGCAGACAGCAAGACCCTGGGAACCTCTACTTCTAGAGGATTCATTCCAGATGTTGAAACCAACCATGTCACAACAGGGCTTCTGCAGACTACTACAGAAAGCTATCACTTAGCTGTGCAAGTCTAGCAAAATCATTGCCCTGACACGAATCTATAATTTAGCGATTACCCTAAGTCCAGCAGTAATGTACTACAACTCCACAACTGTCTTTGTGAGCATCCCTCCATCCATCCATCCACCCACTCACCTGTCTATCTGTCCTTCCACCCATCAATCCATCTGTCCATCCATCCGTCTGTGCCTCTACCCATCCATCCATACCACCCATTCATTCTACCCACCTATTTATTCAAGAGTTCTTCATCTACCTTATCCATCCATTCATCCATCCATCCCCCAACCACCCACCCATCCACCCACCCATCTATCCATTCATCCATCCACCTACCCATCAATCCATCCACCCATCCATTCACCCATCCATCCACCCACTCATCCATCTATCGGCGACACATGAGTTCTTAAGCAACAGAACAACAGTTCAGAGAATGGGTCCTGCCACTAACATGCTCTGGGGCCACATCAGTGAAACTGGCCAAGCACCAGCCCTAAACTCCTTTGTCCATATAAAATAAGTGGATTAAAACATAGCTGCACAGTGGCATATGCAGTAAGAAACTAAGCTGTAGGATTAGACAAGACTGAATTTGAATCTTGACCCTGCCATCTTACTACTGTGACTAGCATTAAAAAATTACTTAAATTCTTGAAGCCTTGGGCTAGGGATGAGTCCTGTGGTACAGTGATTGCCTGACATGTGCTAGGGCCTGGGTTTGATCCCTAGCATTGGCAAAAATAAAAATAAAATAAAAACCTGTAAGCTTTTCCATGTAATGTGGAGATAGCCTTTATGTATGCTATGGAAATAAAGAGAAAAGTCTATCTTTACAGATATTAAAGTGAGATGAAATAAAATAATATTATATATGCAAGACTTCATAAATAATTACTAGGCATTATTAATTTTGTTTGTTTTGAGACAGGGTCTCTCTCTAAGAGTGCTGTCTGTCCAATAACTCAGCTTGTAGACTAGGCTGACCTTGAAGTAACAGAGACTGCCCTGCTTCTGCTTCTCAGTGCTGGGATTAAAGGCCTGTGCCATCATGCCCAGCTTATTAGTAGCTATTATGATAGTGTACTGCACTTGATGAGATGCTGGAAGGCAGGAGAGAGGCGTCTCAATGAGGAAGCTGCCTTCTCAAGGAGAGACTAGTGTTGCTAAGGAAAGATAGTTCCAGGTGCGGATGATGATGGGGGAGATGCGACTTGCCATCTTTAAAGTAAGAAGGGCTGTTAAGCATCCTCTTTTCCAAATGCAAACATGAAGGGAAGAATGAAGAAAATAAATGACACACAGCTCACAGCTAAATGGCAAAATGAGCTCAGGATGAAGATCCAATTGCCAGTTCAGTCTGCTTGTTAGCTTGCTAGGTTGTTTGTTTTCTCTGACAATTTCTACAGCAAAGAGCTCATGTATGGCAAAGGTGCCCTGAGGCTTAGCAGGAGTTAGGGTTCCTTGAGGGGTGTTGCGAAATATAGCAACAAAAAATAGTATGAAAAATATTTACCATCTCTGGGATAATTGTAATTTTTAAACTCTGTAGAGGCAGGGAACTCTACTTCCTGCATCTCCATCCCTGGAGGACCTAGGGCAGTAGCTGGCAGTGCACAGGCTACTGGTAATGGCTGGCAAAATAAGTAAGTGAGATTTGGTAGAGGTGCATTGTCTGCTCGGCACGAGTATGTCCTACCCAAGGTGAACACCCCTGAAGTAAATACACTGGTCACAGGACGATGTCTGGTGGCAAATTTGCTGTTTCTTTTCCAGTTCTAGGGCCGCAATCATTCCACTTCCTGAGGATGACCCTGCCTGCAGCTCTACAGACACAACCTCTGCTTTGCAAGACCACTGTGTGTGTGTGTGTGTGTGTGTGTGTGTGTGTGTGTGTGTGTGTGTGTTGGGGGGGGCAATGGAAAAGGAAGCTGTGCCTTCTAACTACCCGCTTAAGATAAGCAGGGATGTCTGCATCACAGGAGGCGACACTCTCTAAACACTGGTGGAGGAGGGAAGGTTTCCAGTGTCCCAGATGAATCCCAGAGCCATCCTTGCTGTGAGCAGAAGGGAAGAACCAGTGGAATGCCCGAGATCTACCCCCAACACAAATCATGCATCTCCTGTCCCCCACTGTTCCCCAATCTCAACAAGCCCTCTTCCGAGGAGGGACAGATAAAGCAGGACAACCTGGGGACCACCATCATGTCAAGGGACAGTAAGCAGGACTATTTGTCATTCGAATCACTGGGAATCGCTTTGGAAAGGCCCAGTGCGACCCCAGTGCCCTTTGGAACCTGAACACACACTCAAGCCAGAGGAACTGTCATTTTCTTGGACACAAGTGATGGGGGTGGTAAATCAGGTGATTCATTTTCTCTGAATGCTCCAGTCACATTTTATCCCCTGGGCTGGGTACCAATAGAAGAGTAGCAGACAGAAAGGACACAGCAGGGGTCAATGCTTTGGAGACTAACTCTGATCGCATAGCAGCTGGTCCCAATGCTCTGCCGAGATGCAGCTGAAGACTCAGACGGAAGGTATTGGAAGCAAAACCCGGTGTGATCTGGGGGACAAGGGTGAAGCCGTTGGGGCAAAATATGGCCAAGAAAAGGAAGGGAGAGAAGGGAGAGCAGAAGATGAGTGGAGACAAAGAAGGACCTGTGATGGCACCAAAAAATGAAGAAATGTAGCCAGTATTTGGAGAAAGGAAGGGAAGAGGGACCTTAGACAAGGCAAGGCTGTGGCTCAGAAACAGAGCAGGGTCAAGGGAGGAGGCTGGTGTGGCAAGTAAAGGCATTTTTGCCAGACATGCCTAAGTCTGAGTTCATACCTCCTCAGAACCAATGGTGGGAGGAGAGAGCCAAAGATGCCCTCCGACCTCCACATTTGCACCTTGGCACACACCCCCCAACGTGACCCGCCCCCTCCTCCACACACACAAACAACTTTAAAAAGCAGTGAGTCAGAATCCACAACTGGATAAAAGACAGTATGAGGCTGGGGTAAGTATGAACCTAGAGATTAAAAACTTTGAGAAAAAACATAATCAAACCAGAAAAACAAAACAACTCATCTGGCCTCCTACATTACAGTAACTCTGTCATGTGTTAGGTATTTCAAGCTTTCTGTCCCCTGCCATGTCCTTATCAGATACGAATGAAAACATTGAGAAATAAGGGACAAGAATGTCAAACTTTTCAAAGCCATTATGAGGTGAAAGATTCCGGGACAGCTGGCCACGTCCCAAGGACACCATCTCAGACTTAGAGACTCTCCTTGGGATCCGCCTGCCCAGCTAGGCATTCTGCCGGCTCCTCCCCCTCCCAACCCTCACCAGCTCGAAGGGGAACACTCACGCAGGTGCGCTGGCAGGTGGATCGAGTCTTCCTCCATCCTGAGCGTGCGAGGCACTGGAACATGAAGTGGAGTCGAGGGACCGTAGCTCGCCACTGGGCTCTCCGGAGGTGTATATGAAATTCGTTCCTGCTGTTAGGAAAAAGGGGAGGGAGAAAAGAAAATGAAATGTTGCAATGGAGGTGTGTGCGACTCTGAGTGAAAGGCAGGAGGGACATCGCCTGCCCAGAGATCCCCTACCAGAGGTGTGCGACCTTTGGATGCCACGGCATGGCCCTGTCATCCACAACTGTGTTGAACCACACGAATAGTTGCCCTGGGGCACACACAGCCCCCTGGCATCGTCAGATCAGACATGCCTTCTATTTCGACTTAAAAGCAAAATAAGCAAACAAACAAACACTGGAAAGGTTAAAAACGGGGTTTGGGGACGCAAGTCAAGAAGTGTCCACTCAGCTCCCAGGATAAGGGGAACAAGATGAGCAAGTGAAAAGCAGGAGGCCTAAGGGTAGCTTTCCGAAGGAACTCCCCAACACTGTTTCTCCAAGTCACATGCTGAATGTCACCAATGCACTCAAACCAACCTTCCTCTTCTCTGGCAATGTCCCCAGCTTCTAATCGGAGTAGGATTCGAAACGCAAAGCCAGCAAGAATAAACTATACCAGTAAGTAGGAAAGTGATGATTTATTTCTAAGTCCAAAGACTAAGATCTATGCTCCTATAGCCCAGGCTGGCCTCCGACTTGCCTCATACTTCCCCTGTACTTGAAAGGTAAATACAAGAAGTTCAGAAGGGCCAGCCTGGGCGATATAAGACTGTGCCTCAAAAGAAAGGGAGGGAGGGAGGGAGGGAAGGAAGGAGAAAGGGAGTAAAGGAGGGAGGAAGGGAGGGAGGGAGGAAAGAAGAAAAGGGAGGGAGGGAAGGGGAATGAGGAGAGTGGAGGGGAGGGAGGAGGGGAGGGAGGGTCCTTACATTTCAGAAAGACGGGTCTTTAATATGCACACATCATCAAACAGGCAAGGGGAAGGAAGGGGAATGTCAGGTGCCCTTTGGCCCTGTAACCAAAGTTAAGCTTCTCTTCTGCTCAGAACCTGGAAAGTTTGGTGGATGGGGTGGGAAATTTCGATTTTAAATGATAATATACAGATTGTAGTTTCCAGATGGGATCGCCACACCTTCCCTAAGGCATCTACTGGCAGCGAGGAGTCAGCTAGAATAACTGTTTGCAGAATATCCATCATAACAACAATCCTGGTAAGTTCTCAATCCAAGGCAAGTCCATACACCTAGACTGGATGTCTACATCAACCAAGATGTCTCAAGATGCAAAGCATCCAACTTCCCTTTTTAAAAAATAAAACAAACAAACAAACACCCCAAACCCTGAATTGTTTCCAGCAAATCTAACATACAGATACGTCACTCGACTTGGTGTCTGCATGTCTGCTTCGGGGCCATGTGGCGGAAGAGAGACAATATATAATGGCATATACCAGAAGCGCATCTTAAATCTGGAGGGGGTTCCCCCAGCCCAGGGGCAAATAAGTTTTAATGTGAACATTTCAAGCACACTGTCATGACATTGTCTAATAAATTCTCCACACTCCTCAAACAAGCCCCCAGTCTAATCACATCTAGACAGCAATAGTTAACTTCATTCGGGGAATAGCTTTGTTTTGTTATATTGTTTACGTAGGTGAAACTATTGATAGTCAGGGGGTCTTCAAATGGAAGGGCACGAGGGTGAGGCAAAAAAGAGGGACGCTGTTTCATAATACAATGACTTCTGTCCCAAAGCAAGGACTCACAAGAACCTTGTGCTTGTTTCTAAGAGCGAGAGGCTACTTCATTCCAATCTCCCGTCTCAGAACTTTCTACTTTGCATTGTGGGAGATTTACCACCAGGGTCTGGGTGTCACCTTCATAGTGCCTATGTTCCCAACTGCTATTTTCCCATTGTGCTGTGCCTTTGGTGCACCGTGGCTGCTCTGCAACCGGTCACTTCTACAAGGTTCCTGGCCGCACAACTGCAAGTACATGCTTCAGTGCTGGCCCTCTCATCGTGCGCAATGCTCCGTGTCCAGTGGGGGTCAGAAGGAGACAGCCCCTTGCATGATGAGATCTCCCGGTAGTAGGCCAGAGCCTGAGTGCTTGTGGAACCTGACCAGGAAGCTACACGCTGAGGTCAGGAAGCCCTTTGTGAAAGGTTTGGTGGAGACACCCATCCACAACAGAGGACCACAAGGGGGAAAGGCCAGATGTGCTTCTCAGGCCTTGAGCGACCTGTGGGGAGCAAGGATTACCTGCTGGACCCCTGGAATTAGCGGCTCTTTTCTGAGGATAGAACAGCTGGGAATCCCCCCACACTGAAGACTTCATGTACTTGGTCTAACTTAAGGCTGACTTACACACACTCATTTTTTCCTTCCACTACAGCCATGCCTACACTGGCTCATCAGCAGCTACCGGCCACCAGAAAAACTAGACACGGCTATCTCAGTTAGAGATAGCTAGACAGAGGGGCTTAAAGGGGACTAACATCCAACGCTCTAAATCAAGCGGCCCCTTTATTCTGACCACCACTATTCCTCTCATTTCACTATCAGAAGCAAAGGTATCTAGAGTAGTAACTGTTGGCTTATTCATCTCTGAGGAAAAACTGTCAGCCAGATGAAAGCCAAAGGCACTTTATTTTAATACTGGGAGCACTAAGGATTTTTCCCAAGAGGATTATAAACATGGCTCTAATTAAATTAAAGTGTACAGACAGTAATATTAATGCATTCAGGTATTGCTTAGCTTCTAGGGGTGGGAGGGAGGCTCTCAAATTTACAGACACAACCTACCACACCTAGATGCTGGAAAAAAAGGGAAGTGCTGGAAGCTCTCTGATATCAACTGTAATGTCCACAAGGAGTGAAGAAGGTACAAAGAGCTTCAGCAAGGCAAAGGAAAGCGGAAACAGTTGAGGGCAAGGGCTGAAGCGGAATTTTTACTACCCATTAGAGAAAGCTTTTCCAAATGTATGTTCCTATAAGAACAACTCAGTGAATTTGAAATTATTTACATCTCCCTCTAACGCTGTCTGAAGCATGAAGGGCTAATGAGGTGTACCAATTTTACTCTACTCATTTTTATAGCCTGTGAACTTGAAACTTCCATGTAAAAGAGGAAAATGTATAGGTACAGGAAAATGACATTCACTTCCAGTCCCCCACCCTCAGGCCACATGTTCTAGAAGGGTCAAAAGCAAGGAATTTTTACTACCATGGACATCTCCCTCTCCTGAACGATTCAATACAAAGCTTCTGCAAATGATGAGGACCCCTCTGGCCCATTCACTTACTTCCTCTTAGACCATTATCTGAAAAGGCTGAGAAGCTGGGTTAGAGGTGACTGTAAATGAAATATCTCCTACAAATACAGACAAAGCATTTTGTGAATCAAGGAGAACAGAAATAAAGATGGTGCTCTTGTGCAAAGATGCTTAATGAGTTATTTCAAGAACCTTAGATGTCCTTGATTGAGGAATTCTTTCTGGAGACTGCTTCAACAGCATTGCAAATGCCAAGATTCTGTCTCCAGTTCTGCTTCTGAAGCTGCGCAGAAACTCCTGAGGAGTGTCATGGGGCTAACCGTGACTGTTTCCTGGAAGTTACGGTAAGAATTCCACCACAGGTATCTGCCTCACATCCGATGCATGCTTCTGTCCCAACACAACGATGAACACTGCAACCCAGATGAGATGCATAAACACCAGAGAGATCTGACAGCCAGGACCCTAAAGGTTAGGGGTAGAACTAATGCTTGCCCTGTAACCAGCACCAACAGACTGCACAGAAGAAATCCCTCCTCTGACAAGCTATGTTCTGTGATAACTACACAAGCAGGAACACTCGATGTGATGGTTAATGGCATCTCAAATGCCAACTCAATGAGCTCTAGAGTCAACTGGGAGATGAGCCCGTGGGCATGCCTGTGACTAGGGTAACCGAGGTGTGAAGACCAGCCTAGAGTGGGTGGCACCATTCCCTGTGTCGTGGCCTGGACTATGAAAGAAGGAGAAAGTGGGCTGAGCACAAGGACACTCACTCTCTTTCTGCTCTGTGGGTGCCATGGGACCAGCTGTCCCAACCACCTGCTGCCATGAGCTCCCTGTCACGATGGACTATCAGTGGAACTGTGAACCAAAATAACCCTTTGCTAAGTTTATTCTTGTCAGGATATTTTATCAAAGCATCAGGACAATTAAAGCATACAATTACTTAAATATATCCTGGCTGCAAAAACGATTCAATGTTGGTGGTGCTGGCTTTCGCTAAATACACTTTTTTTTTATAAGCATGCTTTTATTAACAAGCTACTATATACACATTTTTAAAGAGACCGACAAATAAAAACCTAAATTAACATACCCCCAGACATCTATTTCTTCACTTATTTAAAAAAAAAAAAAAAAGTGCATTATTTTGCCCAACCCAAAATTCAGTGTGATAGACTTAAAGAACTCGAGAAAATATGCACATACAGCCATGCATCTTTTTTTGGACTATATCCCTAGAAAAGAAACTATGCACCCCAGAGTCTTGGCTGAGGGAAGACCATCACACATGAACAGTAAAGCAGAAAAAGCACATACTGGGTGGAGTTTTGGTGATTTCTGCTCCCAGGAAGGGAAGGGTTTATGAGACTTCTAAAACCAAGAGCTCGAGTGCTTCTTGGTACCCAGGTCTTCCCAAGAGAACCATCCATCTGGACAGTCATTTGATAACCCAAGTAGTGTCTGGTTTTTAAAGCTCGCTTGCAGGACACATATCAGTACCTCTGGGGAGACAAATAGGAGTTCCCTGTGGGAAGTAACATGGGTGGGAACCACATTCCTGGTCTCTGAAGCTTCCTCCCCATGTTACCCTGATGCCCCAGCCTGCCCTAGGAAGAGGGTGCGCCGGACAACCACACTGAGAGCTGGCAGGGCTCTTCCCAGACTAGACTAATGACGGTCTAAAGGGGGGCATTTTCTCTGGAAGTCTATGGAGATAAACAAAACAGGTGGTTCCTTGCCCCCACCACCAGTTTCATCCTGAAACAAGAAGACAACACACTGCATCTGTCAAATGGACAGAGCTAAATC